TTTACGACAAATTATCGCTTGCGTGAATCATAAAGAATATTAAGAGAGATATGAAGTGCGAGATTGCATCAAAACAACAGAAAGTAAATGAAAATTGTATTTTATGTCACTGCAGGGGATAGAGTCTATGGAATGTATAAATTGATGATCTGATTGCAACAGCATAACTCGAGGTCGGGGCATGATTAAGGATTGAAATAGACAAAACTCCTCTCATTCCCATTGGATTTTCACAGCAACGGACCAATAGAAACAAACAATTGAACACTTATAGGAAAATGAAGCTAATGATGAAATGTAACAGAACAGGTCCTCAAAAAATTTGCCCGAAACACCCTCAGTTAAAGAACAAATACGTGCAGAGTCAAACAAATTGCAACGAAATGAATACTCTAATCATCATGAAAATGATCTGAAGAACAATCTACTTGCAGAGTGTGAATTGCACATGAAGCAATAGTAAGTGATACCTAGAGGCGATGTCGCAGAAAATCTCATAAGCTTGGAATCCTACAGCGACACTGGTTTCATCTTAGAGGACGGAATAATAAGAGTTGAACATAAGAAGCAAAGGAAAAATTGCAGACTTCTTCTGAATCGGTGATACAGGGGAGAAGAAGGGTTTTGGAAGAAGAAGAAAGAACCGGTCTGGAATACTCCGGTACAACAATCAAGACATGTCTCCCACTCTCCATTTAGTTGGCCACTTTCAGGTTTATAATATAATGGGCCTCTATTATGGCCCAATAGGCTCGAAACATTATTGGACTAATGGAGTTTCTCGTCATCCGCAAACAAGTTTTTGTGGAGGTACTCAGAATCACGAAATATAATGATATAGTGAGATCTATATTCATTAGTTAAAGCCTTTTTTTTTAATTTCATTATATTTCTGGTTTTTCATCCTAATGAATATAGATCTCACTTGTTTTTCTTCATACATAATCATTTTGGGGTGGCACGACCAATCATTGCTTGAGTTTATATTAATCCAAATTTTAGGAAGATAATGCGTAATTAATTGAATTTTTCAACCAAAAAGATGGACAAAAAGATTATCTCCTTGTAATGATTGTAATTATGATGCTTCTAGATGATATCAAGTATCAACTGGATAATAAACTATTTATCATTTTCTTACAACTAGCAACCAATTAAAAGCCACTCAACACTAAGGTTTCTTCTACTTTTTTGAATTTTCCTTATTCCAATGATTATTGATTTATTATGATTAGATCAGATGATTTTCTCTATGGATTAAAAAAAATAAAAATAACATGTTGGGACTGGGTGGGAGTGGAACGAGAGGCCACGGCACACAAACTCACAAAAAGTGTCATTATCCGGTGCACCGTCCCACATGCGATTGCTGGTCACCACGCGTCAATCAGAAGAATGGCATGATCCTTTTTTAGATTGTGCTCGCTAATATGGACCCTACAAGGACCGAACTAATCAATGTGGTTCTCACATGGCTTTTTGTCAATTTTAACTTTTCTAACCAAAAAAAATATTACTGTGAAACCTCCACATTCAGTTGTGTGATATGACCGGAGTCTGGCCCTCAAACCGAAAGTCCTCTCCTCTGAATCCTTTGTGGCTCTGTCTGTCCCGCGTGCCATATGGTCTAACACGTGGGAATATCAGATTAAATGTATGGTCTCTCGCAAAATTGAATGTCATTTGTGGTTATTAGTTCGAAAATAATTGAGACAATGCAAAGATTTTGTTTTGCATCATCGTTATTCGTTACCGACCACATCAACCAGGTCATCGCTCTGGGTCCACTCACCGCTTAACACTTGTGGGAAAAGGCTTCTTCTAGTACAGTTTCGTCACGGCGTCTTATTATTGCAAAGCTGTGACGTTACGGGTTTCGATTCGGGTTACTATTTTAATGGAAATCTTTTGATACTAGCTAGAGCCTAGAGTATGTTACCCTAGGGTTGGATGGTAATACCAAATCTACCTAAATTTTTGTTATTTTCGGTTTTCATGACATATATAGACTCTGTAATTTAAAATCTCAAAATTTAGTTTCACTTATGGTTTTTTATAGTTTCGAGGTAGGTATACAAGCATGGAACGTGTATGGCTACGATCTTCGGAACTTTATTGAGTTTGCATGCTCAAAGGCCAACGCCATTTCTTTTCCAAGCTGCTTTTTTTCCCATTACGGAAACAATATAATCTTTTTGCGTTACTGAACTTACCAAAGTTTATTGAACTACATTGTTATCTACAAAACTTCTAATTAACTCGAAGATGGAATTTCATTTTCTTAACCAAAAGATAGTTATAATACATCCTTTGCACGAAATTGTCCTTACAGATTCGTTGTTGACTTTTGCTTTTGTCACTGTAGCCATTGTGGACTTTTATTTATGTGCTATTTATACAAATTACCTAACTTTTCATTTTATAATATTTGATTGTTTTCTCATCTCTACATTTTAGCCTAGGTTGGATATCATTGTCATATTGCATCACTGTTTACTATAACCAAACTTATATACCACACGAGCTGTAAATTTGCTCTCAATATCTTTGTTTTCACATACAAGTATTTTTTTCCTAACCAATAAGTTTTAAATTGCATTAGGAATTGAGGATTTATAATAAATACTATATATACATAACCCACTAACGACAATAGACGATGTCTTGCTACGTCTCTGCCTTTATTATCATGCCACAAGAAAATAAGAGAGGAGCAGAGAACCCCATAGCATAAATAAATAAAAGTAGAGAAATATCTAATTTTGTTTCTTCCCTGTGTTTGCCGGAATCATTAAATGGATTGTGATTTCTGATTTGTGAGTCAATCTTTCTCTACTCCATTAGTTTCCTCTCCGTTTGGGTATTACGTCACTTTCTCCGAGCTTACGTCATCTATGTCCGGTCGTCACTTCTTTTTCCTTAGCAGCATTGCGTAATCTATCTGGTGTGTATTACGTCACTTCCTCCTGATCTCTCTCTGTGTACGCTCTTGTTTGGTGCAATTCAACAATGTTTTTGTAGATTTGAAAGCTTTTTTAATTACCCTTTTGTTTCACGGTTCTTCTTAATCTTACTTTTGTAGATTAGAAAGCTTATACTTCAAATACTAGCAAATCTTGTTTTCACAGAAATTAGGCAAAGGGTTTTCCAATTTCTGTTTAAGATATGAAGGTTTTATTGCTTATTTTTCCCGGAAAGTAAAAAAGAGAAAATCTCCGAATCTTGCAAGTTATAATTTTTATAACTCTAGAGGAATGTTAGAACTTGTGTTAATGGAATTCCAAGTCAGATATGAATATTCTCTTACCATCTTTTGTCCTTATAACTGTTTTAAATTCCAAAGTTTATATTTTATCCCCTGTTTTTTTCCCGGGAAAACGATTCTCAAAAAACAAATTTCCTACTTTGATATTATTTTATCTCCCTCTTGCTCTTTGATTTAATGCAACTACATGAATTTATCATTTACAGAGTTCAAGATCATATGATATTTTCACCTTCTGGACAAAATGGGACATTTCTCTTCCATGTTCAACGGTATAGCTAGATCCTTCTCGACCAAGAAAGCCAAGAACAACAATAGCAAGAGCTATGCGAAGGAAGCCACAGATGAAATGGCGAGAGAGGCGAAGAAAAAGGAATTGATTCTGAGATCCTCTGGTTGCATTAATGCAGATGGTTCTAATAACTTGGCTTCTGTTTTCTCTAGACGCGGTGAGAAAGGCGTTAATCAGGACTCTGCCATCGTCTGGGAGGTACATTACTTCTACAAATAGCTATCTTAGAGCTAATTTATTAGAAGTTTTATGCGGTTTTTGGTGTTTACTTAGAGCAATTTTTCGGTCACGTTTTGCTCACCTTAGGAATATTGAAGTCCAAAGATGTTAGCTTCACGCAATTCTCTTCGTGTGCGTTTGCGTCTAGCTTGTTTTGACTGCTTCTCTGCATCTAGGGTTATTATCACCAGTCCAAAGATCTAAGCTGTTGTTTCTGAGTTACCCGATAGTGTGGTCTTTAAAAACTTCTTCGCGAATATTTGTTCATCATGTTTTGACAATTTCTGCAACGTAAACAGGGATTTGGATGTCAAGAAGACATGATCTTCTGTGGGATATTTGATGGACACGGTCCCTGGGGACACTTTGTCTCTAAACAAGTCAGGAACTCAATGCCTCTATCTTTGCTCTGCAACTGGAAAGAGACTCTTTCTCAGACCACATTAGCAGAGCCCGACACAGACCTCGATGAATACGATAAAAAGCTACAGCGGT